CCCTCCCTCCTCCTCCCTCCCTCCTCTCTCTCTCTCTCTCTCTCTCTCTCTCTCTCTCTCTCTCTCTCTCTCTCACTCTCTCTCTCTCTCAGCAAGCTAGATATTATACCGTTTTTAGTCCGTTCTGCACTCGTCTTGTGCATGCGTCCATGCTCGCGCCTGCCCAATATCTCCCGAGACGAATAATATTTTGAAAAAATTATGAAGAGGAGTCATCCTAGCATAGATTTATTTGGTAACATATTCTTGATGACCTGCGGGTTTTTCGCCGTCCCCGTGCTCCATTTAGTAATGGTTGTATTAGTTTTTTTGTTCAAGGATTTATAATCAATGTGTGATTGTATATAACTTGTACTTATGCGTCTTATGCACAAATAAATTTCTTTGAATCTTGCATCTTGAACCTTGTAACATATTCTATCAGTAGACATCACATTATAAACAGAAAAAGCCCTTGCATGTTATGTGACGTCCTCGCTGCATATATATACCAGTCAGTACACAATCCGGCTACGTTGGTGTATCAGCGCATGCGCAATATCTCACCACGGAAGTCATATTTTGTGTTGAATATGCATTTAATATGGTTAGGGGGTACCTCAGCATGGATTTGTGTTATAAATTGTTATCAGTAGACCTGTGTTTATAATTAGGAGAGAGCCCTAGCCTGTAAGGTGCAAAACTCCTACTTCGTCTCCTCCCGTCCTTCCCCTTGCCTCCCTTGTTCCTCGCTCAGCCTCCTTCTTCTACCGCCCATCAGCTACCTTCCCTGCTCTCGCGAAGCACGGTGTTCAGCTGTTCTGTTCATGGATTCGTTCAGCCATTCATTCATGGATTCATTGACAGATTCGGGCAGGCATACACTGCTAATGTAATGGGTTTCACTCGGTCGGGTATCCTGAGAAGTGCTACGGTATAGTCGCAATCTACGCATACGCTCCCAGTTAGCGCATAGTTATAACTGTTATATAACGATATATAGCGTTATCCTCCGTCTTGTATGTTTGGCAATCGTACTCAGAATTTCAAAAATAACTATTTTTACAGCGGTGAAAATAATTCAACCGCAGTTAAATTGTAGCCCTTCTACCTGATCAGAGACCTTCTTGCACATAATTTAACTGCGAATTTTTTTTCCACCGCTGTAGAAATAATGTAACTGTGGTAAAATTATAGTCCTTTCACCAACTCAGAGGCCTTGTTACACATAATTTAACCTCGGTAAAAACAATTGATCCACGGTTAAATTATGTGTAACAATGCCTCTGATTAGGTAATAGGCAATTAAGGGCATTTAATCAGAACATGATTTCTAACACGACAATATAAATTACAAGTAAACAAGTAATGTGTTTTAAAATATATATAATATATATACTATTTAACATAGTATGAAACATGATAAATCACACATTTTTGTTAGGTTAAACAATATTTTCAAATTTTGGAAACCTTAATTTCTTTTATATGATTGAGCATTTAATATTGCAGTCATTGCATATAATACACACATTGATGTAACATGTGTAAATAGTGTGTGCGTGCGTGCGTACGCACGTGCGTGTGTGTGGTTGTGATTAATTCTTTTAACATTAGTTATATTCCTCTGTGTATGTACAATATGTTTATTTTGTTAGTAATGCCTGGTTTACACTTATATATTCACAACTATTAATGAAGTATTCTTCCTGTGATGGAAACAATTCGTAAAACGCTTGAGATTCCACTACCTGAGTAGTCATGCCAGCTAGGCACTTGTTACAGTGATGAATGGCAGTTACTACAAACGAAATTGTCAAGCAGTGAAAAATAACGGGATATTAAATTTTAGTTCAACACAATCAAATGCACACAACTTGGCACCACCACAACTTGGCACACCAACCCTAAAATAATACCAAGTTATAGTAATGACATGAACATAAGCATACATGGTACGTTAGTGGTATTGCTACATAACAGCAATGCTATCATCAACATTAACAACAGGTGAAATAGATGGTAGCAGGGGTAAATAACCTCTTTGAGATTATTTACCCCTGATGGTAGTAATGTGTCAATATTAGAGTTATTGACATGCATGGTTTCAGTTTTCCTTACCTAATCAGTTTACCAGCGACTAGTTGGTGTGTCTCAGGGAATGAGTAAGTGTGGCAGCAAAATGACTTGTTTTGTGAAGAGCATTAGGGTTAGGGGTGAGGCTATAGAAATGGTTTCTTGTCACGACTTGACTTTTTTCTGCATGTCCTGAGGCACACAATATAAGACATATCCTTCAACATATCGATCTACCTCTGTAGTGTGTTTCAATTGCCACTGATATCTTCGTTTTATTGCAAACCTGAGAGATAGCAAAACAGCAAATAGCAAATAAATCCTCTATGGAATGGTTCGCGTTTTGTACGTACGTATATATTTCTGACTATAACACATAAACATGAATGTGCCAAGCTAGAGTTCACACACTTCAAAATATTATGGAATGTACTTACTTGCCACGTCTGAATGCCACTATTCATTTGTGAAGAAAAACTCTTTTTAGACAGAAAAAAAGAGTAAACCTTCCCAAAGAAACTATATTTTGCAAAAAGGTTTACATACGAACTCAAAGCTTATCTAAACGCTTCTTTGCTTGATCCTAGAAGATAATGAATCTCCATCCACCGGGCAATACTGAAGTGCCACCTACTGACTGCCAATGCCTAGTTTTGCGAGTGCCATCTGTTTTCTGAGCTGCACGATCTGGCAGTAGATATCTTTGTCTGTAAATTTTAAATTGCAAAATAAATATATGAGTGAACACATGCTGCTGCAATTTTATTATGAATACTTTCGCATATTTAATGAGGAAATATAGTTATGGTCTATAGATGCATCTCACTTGCAAAAAAGTTGCACAATTACGCGACGTGCAACTGTCTTTGTAGCAGCATACAGATGAAGACACTCATGATAACTAAAGCATAAGTTATGATTCACACACCATCACACAATGCATAAGTAAGGATGCAACAGATGCAACAGTCAGGCAATGTGAAAGGCGAACGGTCATGGCAACAATATGAGCGTATGGAAGTATAAGTCTCAATACTCTGCAGAATCACAGCCCCCAAGAATTGAAGCAGAGCATTGCTCTATTCAACAACAACAAACATCAAACCACGCGCATCGAAGACTGTAATTATAATGTAGACGTGTAGTGATTCCTAAAACATGACAAACATAATGTTTTATTATACACCTAATAAGGTAATATACTGACTATATTCATTATGAACTTACTAACTAAAATCCTTTCAATTTCAATATTATAAAATGTGTTGCCAGTGTGTGGGAGTGATCATATATGTCTTGGGACAATAAAAGTTCAGATTATTTTATCCACTCTAAACTTCATACGTACCTTCATTTTTTACTAGTCCTTGATTTATGTACCTCACGTAGGTAAAGAAATTGCACACAGCTGCTATCTGTGAACAAACCACACATCATCTGGATACACTATGTAAGCTTTTAACATGTTTCAGAAATAAACTCAGTGAATTCGCACGAGGAATTCAGTAAACAAGTCACACTTGATGCTATTTGTATCTGATAATTTATACCATATAGAAACAAACAAATAGGCAATGATTCTAAGAATTATACACCACACAGCAATTATATACATTATTCGACCACAAAGTTAGATAGCTACTGCTTACAATTTCACACACAACAGAGTTAACTAGACAGAGGGCACTCAAAAAGAGTGAATACCTCCGCGAGCGTGTAACATGTATACATGTGTATAACAGCTGGCTCGCTGCTG